TCCGAGCAATGGATTCACCAGTGGATTAACCAGGAGTGAGGGACCTTCCCTGAAGCGCTCGGTAATCTGGCCACTTCGGCAGTCAAATTAAAACGTGAGATGGGCAGATAGTGGACTACAGAAGCCTCTCGTTAGACTCCTTCCCACACCGTACATAACAAGAGAGTTCGCTGTTTGGTTAGTTGTTGACTAATTGGTTCATTAGTCTGTTTACTTGCTTTAAAACTTATCTACATCATTAAACAAGTCATTAAACAAGCAACTCTTTCGCCCTAAGTCAAGGATAATATACTATCTAAAAAATAAATTATATGTGTATATACCTGTGTATGTACACATCTCTGTACATGTACATGTCTCTTTATATATACCTCACCATATATTCACGTATCTGTGTATATCAACCCTCAGCGTGTTGTTTCCAACTATTTATCCAGATGCAGTGACTATCCCGTTGCCAGACGTAACTCTCCCATTTACTAGTTAAATAAATCCCCTGAAAGGCTATTTAAGAATCCCCTATTGAAGCTGTTCCTGTTGAACCTTCTCCTGTTTAAGTAAATAACGCTGTTCTTCCTCATTATTTGACCAGTCCTGTTTATCACCCTTCCCCAAGGTGCATTATAACCCCTTCTACGGGTTTAGAGCTTCCCAGTGACGACAGCTGCAACAGTAGCTGCCTATTGCAAGCATTTCCAGCAATGTGTCCAAAATGTGAAATGCTAAATTTTCACGATGTGAGCTGATATTAATTTAGGGAAAAGTTGTACTCGTTGCTATTTTGCAGAGAGTTACATCACGAGAGTAATTCCTATGCAATAGGCGGGTGTCAGAGGCGTCATCTCTTAATTACCTAACCACACTTTTCACATAATTAACGAATATCACTCGTTTATCGTGTGTTGAAAATAGAAAATGAAATTCGTTTAGTAACTGCCGGGGGATCTAGTGTTTTTGCTTGGTTGAGGAGTGGGCATACACTTGCCATGAGGCCACTTACACTTGCCATAAGGTCACTTACACTTCTCGTGAGGCCACTTGCACTTGGCATGAGGCCATTTACACTTGCCATGAGGTCACTTACACTTCCCATGAGACCACTTGCACTTACCATGAGGTCACTTACACTTCCCGTGAGACCACTTGCACTTGCCATGAGGCCACTTGCACTTGCCATGAGGTTACTTACACTTCCCATGAGACCACTTGCACTTGCCATGAGGCCACTTACACTTGCCATGAGGCCACTTGCACTTGCCATGAGGCCACTTGCACTTGTCATGAGGTCACTTACACTTCCCGTGAGGCTACTTGCACTTACCATGAGGCCACTTGCACTTTCCACGAGGCCACTTGAACTTGCCATGAGGCCACTTGCACTTGGCATGAGGCCACTTACACTTGCCATGAGGTCACTTACACTTCCCATGAGACCACTTGCACTTACCATGAGGTCACTTACACTTCCCGTGAGACCACTTGCATTTGCCATGAGGCCACTTGCACTTACCGTGAGGTCACTTACACTTCCCGTGAGACCACTTGCACTTGCCATGAGGTCACTTACACTTCCCATGAGACCACTTGCACTTGCCATGAGGCCACTTACACTTACCATGAGGCCACTTGCACTTGCCATGAGGCCATTTACACTTGCCATAGCCATTTACACTCACCATGGGGCCACATGCACTTGGAGGCCACATATACTTTCTATGTATGAGTCGACATAAGCTTGAAATGAGCGGACATACACTTACCCGAATACCTTGACACGGGCTATTAAGGGACAAGTGCTGCATCTTGCCTCCTGTTGTGGTATTGGAGGGACGGTGTCTTGAGAGACGTGCAGCTGACGTTGCATCCTCTGGTAACGAAATTGAATACATCAGCAGGGTGCTTCCACCCTGTTCTATATTACAGTTACACAGAGGGAACAATACGCAAATAGCCTGCACACAGGAGACTGAAACTTATGGCCACATTTCGGCCCGACTTGAACCGAAACGTCAATGGTCCCAGTCGGCCGAAACGTCGTCATAGGTGCAGGTTATCTGTGTATTGTTCCAGTCACTGTATCGTGTCTTTGTGTTCTCTGAAGGAGCAAGAACTAATTGTTGTAGTCACGATGTTGTGCCTTTTTATTATTCAAAGGAACAACCTAATTGTTCCAGTCACTGAATTGTACCTTTTTTTTTTATTCCTTGAAGGAATAAAAGCTAACTTTGTTTTTGTCACATTCCTTCACGCAGGATAAAAGGCTCACGAGAGGTGTGGCGTTCCAGTATTCCAGTAAGGGTTCATCAGCTACGGAAGCTTCGCTGGTTTCGCCCAGAGGAGCTAGAACAGGCTGAGGCTTCCTCTCTATTGTAACCAGCACGGCCCCATGAATGCGCTTACGATTCCCACACACAAAGCCTCGGGTTCGATTCCCTTCCAGCTTCACGTGAATTTAGTGACCGTCATTTATTATGACTTATTGGAATAGATAACGAATCCTTGTTATTAATCATGCCGAGGAGCCAGTGGTATATCCTCTCTGATCCCTAGAAGCTGTTAAATCTCAGCTCGGGATAAAATTCCTCTCGCCTGTGAGTGCTAATGTATGACAGTCTTATGCTAAGATGTAGCCCAGGCAGCCAGTTACTGAGATGTGGCGCAGGAGACAGCCAGTTACTGAGATGTGGCTCAGGAGGCAGCCAGTTACTGAGATGTGGCGCAGGAGGCAGTCAGTTACTGAGATGTGGCCCAGGAGGCAGACAGTTACTGAGATGTGGCCCAGGAGGCAGCCAGTTACTGAGATGTGACGCAGGAGGCAGTCAGTTACTGAGATGTGGCCCAGGAGGCAGCCAGTTACTGAGATGTGACGCAGGAGGCAGTCAGTTACTGAGATGTGGCCCAGGAGGCAGCCAGTTACTGAGATGTGGCGCAGGAGACAGCCAGTTACTGAGATGTGGCTCAGGAGGCAGCCAGTTACTGCGATGTGGCCCAGGAGGCAGTCAGTTACTGAGATGTGGCCAGGAGGCAGTCAGTTACTGAGATGTGGCCCAGGAGGCAGACAGTTACTGAGATGTGGCCCAGGAGGCAGCCAGTTACTGAGATGTGGCCCAGGAGGCAGACAGTTACTGAGATGTGGCCCAGGAGGCAGCCAGTTACTGAGATGTGGCTCTGGAGGCAGCCAGTTACTGTGATGTGGCTCAGGAGGCAGCCAGGTACTGAGATGTGGCTCAGGAGGCAGCCAGTTACTGCGATGTGGCCCAAGAGGCAGCCAGTTACTGAGATGTGGCGCAGGAGGCAGTCAGTTACTGAGATGTGGCCCAGGAGGCAACAGTTACTTGAGATGTGGCCCAGGAGGCAGCCAGTTACTGAGATGTGGCTCTGGAGGCAGCCAGTTACTGCGATGTGGCTCAGGAGGCAGCCAGTTACTGAGATGTGGCTCAGAAGGCAGCCAATTACTGCGATGTGGCCCAAGAGGCAGACAGTTACTGAGATGTGGCCCAGGAGGCAGCCAGTTACTGAGATGTGGCTCTGGAGGCAGTCAGTTACTGAGATGTGGCCCAAGAGGCAATCAGTTATTGAGATGTGGTTCAGGAAGCAGCCAGTTACTGAACTGTGGCCCAGGAAGCAGCCAGCACTGAGATGTGGCCCAGGAGGCAGCCAGTTACTGAGATGTGGCCCACCCAGGCAGCTAGATACGAAGCACTGGCCCACAAATTTCACCCCTTTGCACAAAGTCTCACAACACTGCCAGTAGTGATAAGTATGGTAAACATACTCACTCTTCCCCTTGAAGTTTTTCTTTCAGTATATTACTTCATCATGACTTAATAAAGCCCTCAACACAGCGAAACATTGTCAACATGAAAGTCTTGCTCGGTATACCCTTTAACTTTAGCATACAGAAGTGACGGAAGTATGTCGTCCCTCACGAAAAGTTAGTAATTTTTAATATGTATTCGTAGAGGTTCGCCGGAGCCATCCATTGAGCTTGTGTGGTATTAGTTCTCTTGTCCAGACATGGCTTAGTTTACGACACACACACACACACACACACCACACACACACACACACACACACACTGCCCTGTCTATTATGTCTTTGTCTATTATGTTGTCCTATTATATACTGCCCACGTTGTTATTCCCATTTAGATGAAGGAGCAGTTCAGAAGGGGATTTGGAGGGAGACATAGAGAGAGAAAGACAGAAAGACAGGCAGACCGAGACAGAGATTAGTTTCCTGTTGCAAGACACAACACAACAATTTAAGCCAACAAAGGGAATCGGAGGCACTCAACTGCTATCATACGAAGGCTGGTGTAAACAAAGAGATCCCTTTATCAGCTGATCCTGATCCTCGTACCAGCTGATCCTTGCATCAGCTGATCCTGTATGCTGAGCCTCGTATCTGCTGAGCCTCGTATCTGCTGAGCCTCGTATCTGCTGAGCCTCGTATCAGCTGATCGTTTTTACCGACAATGATCATGGCAAAATATGTAAAACAGAGTTACGACGACGACGACGACGACGACGACGACGAAGAAGAAGAAGAAGAAGAAGAAGAAGAAGAAGAAGAAGAAGAAGAAGAAGAAGAAGAAGAAGAAGAAGAAGAAGAAGAAGAAGAAGAAGAAGAAGAAGAAGAAGAAGAAGAAGAAGAAGAAAAAAAAAAAAAAAAGTACAACAACAGCTTCCTTTGGCTGCACAGCATTTCTGAACCTGCTATCTGCCTGTGGTGTTGCCGACAACATACCCGGGTACGTAGGTACACACACACTCACGTCTTCCCTGTCGGGGTTCACTGGTTTGAGCCTAAAGCGTTAACAAGCAATTTTTTTTGTAATTTATCAAAAAAAAAAAAAGTATATTCACATATACCAGGAATCGGGCCAAAATTTTGTCTAAGCACTTTGTCTCGCGTTATATCTCTCACAACAATTCAATACTCCGTATCTAATCTCGGGGGAAAGGGAGTGTGATCTGTGTACTTGTGTGTGTCTGAGAGTAACAGTACGCCACCACCAGCAGTTTGTTGTGATGACAGTTACTTGACAGTCAATCTTCCCTGTCTGTCATCTTCCCCGTCACTGTCATCCTCAGGAGGAAATGTCAGTCAGTAACTGATTGACCTTGTATACCTTCCCTGGAGGTCAAGCCAACCTTGAGGTAAGGTCTTCAGAGAGAAAAAAGAAATGAACTGGATAAGGGAGGATGATAGAATGCTTGGGAAAAGAGCGGGAGTGGAATAATAATAATAATAATGATGATGATGATAATGATAATGATAATAATAATAATAATAATAATAATAATAATAATAATAATAATAATAATAATAATAATAATAATAATAATAATATCAAGGAGCTTAAAGAGAAGAGAAAAAGGATCTTATTGGGAGAGGAAAAAGGGAAGGAAGGATGGGGAGTTTACAGGGAGGGAAGGATGGGGAGTTTACAGGGAAGGGAGGCTGGTGAGTATACAGGGAAGGAAGGATAGGGAGTTTACAAGGGAGGAAGGCTGGGGAGTTTGCAGGGAAGGAAGGATGGGGAGTTTACAGGGAAGGAAGGATGGGGAATTTACAGGGGAAGGAAGGATGGGGAGTTTACAGGAAGGGAAGGATGGGGAGTTTACAGGGAGGGAAGGCTGGGGAGTTTACAGCTAAGGAAGGCTGGGGAGTATACAGGGAATGAAGGATGGGGAGTTTACATGGGAGAAAGGATGGGGAGTTCACAGGGAAGGAAGGATGGGGAGTTTACAGGGAAGGAAGGATGGGGAGTTTACAGGGAATGAATGATGGGGAGTTGACATTGAGGTAATGCTGGGGAGTTTACAGGGAGGGAAGGCTGGAAAGTTTACAGGGAAGGAAGGTTGGGGAGTTTAGAGGGAAGGAATAATGGCGAGTTTACAGGGAAGGAAGGCTGGGGAGTTTACAGGGAGGGAAGGCTGAGGAGTTTACAAGGAAGAAAGAATGGTGAGTTTACAGGGAAGGAAGGCTGGGGAGTTTACAGGGAGTAGGGCTGGGGAGTTTACAGGAAGGGAAAGAATGGTGAGTTTACAGGGAGGAAGCGGGAGTTGGGAGAAGTGGGAGTTTTGCAGGGAGGTAGGATGGGGAGTTTCAGGGAAGAAGATGGGAGTTACAGGGAAGGAAGGATGGGAAGTTTTGCAGGGAGGTAGGATGGGGAGTTTACAGGGAAGGAAGAATGGTGAGTTTACAGGGAAGGAAGAATGGGGAGCTTACATGAACGATACATATTAGAAGTCACCTATGGTACATTCAAAGCAAGAATATTATCTTATGTTTCAGAAGAAGATAAAGAATACTGAGAATATAAACTTTTGAGTGACTCTACGTAAGAATATATAAACATCATAATGATTCTTATTAAGAGAAGAATATTAGACATTATTAGCAGTCCACTGCATCAATAGACTCTTTTAATAGATGTCATCAACACGACAGTATTAATATATTTTAACAATATATTATGAAAATACATTTATCGATAGACTATATCAATAATTTGTATTAATAAAATTCAATGGATTTTATTAATAGATTGAATTCATTCGTTTCTCAGTAAATTATCTCAGTAGACTGTGTAAACAGGTTATATTACTTGTTATCAATAGACTATGCCAGTCTATCGATCGTCAATAGATCGTATTAGTAGATTCCATCAATAGATTTCGTCAGTAAATTCTGTCAATAGATTGCATCCCAGTCATTTTAAATGCAAGTTTCTTTTTGTGGATAAATTGTTGCTGTTGTTGTTTCGCTAACAACTGAATACTATACTTTCAGATGTGCTGAAAACGAGGCTAATTTGCAGGCGAGGAGAGATGCAATGAATATGGGGTAACAGTGGGAGTAAGGCAAGTAGCAGGACAAGGAACAGTAGGAAGAGCAACAGCAGCAGGAGAGGAACAGCAAGGTAATCAGCAACAGTAATTTGAGCAGGAGATCATGCTTCTTGTAGCAGCTTGACAGGTGAAGCAACAGGAGGTACACGGTAGATAAAATTAAAAAAAAGACAAGAACAAAAGAAGCAGAACTCAAAGCTGCAACAGAAACGACAACAGCAGCAGGTTCTTAGAAACAGAGAGTCGTAGAATAGCAACAATACCAAGAATAGCATCAGGTCCAAGAGCAGAAACAGGACCAAGAACAGCAGTAGACCAATAACAGCAGCATCAACATAAAACAGTAGCAGGATGGACGCTGTTAACTTGGTTGTGGAGGGTTCACCAATGGTTGCTACACTACTTCTGGCAGTACTGATGCCCCTGACTCCAGCTTTCACTGATTACTCTGGCTCTCTCGCTCCCACACACCTCAGCAAACTGCACAATTGCTTACGGAAGGCAGCTCAGGTAACCATGTGCAACATTGTGAGAGAAATTTATTCCGATGAACGTATGTTCTCTGCAAGTGGAACGATGTCTCTTACAGAGTACTGTAAACGAATGGGTATCATTCCGGCGTTTGCGGAGGCTCACCAGCATCTCTTGTTCTGTAACCTGATGATGGCAGAGTTCGATTTTTCCTTTGGTTATGATGTTCTGACGAAAGTGTGTGCTAAGGTGTATGAGACACTGGGCGAGGAATGTCGAGGAAAAATTAACGATCTTCGTAAGATGGTGAATGAGGAGGTGTTTGATGAGGACGCTGCTGCAGTGGTTGAGACATTCAGAAGGACCCAGGCAGCCATATACAGAGGCCTCGGTCAAGTTATACAAAGGGATTTTAGTCAAAATATAGCTACAGTGGAAGAGATTTTGAAAAGTTGTTTAGATTCAGAAATTCGATGCGAAGAAGGACAAGTAATATGCGAAAGTGATGTTACAACATCAGGTAGAAAGTCACAGCTGATCATGAAGGGACGCAGTGAGCTATCAGAACGCTATGAGAAGCTGAGAGACCTCAATCCTCGCACTTGGGCGAAAAGAGACGGCGCTAATGATATCCAATATTTCCACATTGAGAGAACCTTCACTCAACTGAAAATTCGAGAAAGCAAGAAAGTAACTGAAGTGAAGGATCTCTTAAAGTTGAGAAACGTGTCTGGGGAGGTTCCTTCAACGCTGTTGCTCTGTGGGTTGGCTGGCTCAGGCAAGACTTCGCTGTGTCGTTACCTCGTCTTCGACTGGCAAAGAGGAGGCACTGAAGTGGACACTCTTAACCTCTTCCATCTCGTTTTCCTCATCGAAGTTCGGAGAGTTCGTTCGAGTCGCCTCAGAGAGTTTCTGCTAGATGAAGTAATGCCAAACACCAGCGCTGGGGTGGAGATGGATCACATCATTCCTGCTTTGAAAGAATTACAAGTTCTCTTTATCATCGATGGCTACGATGAGACAGACAAAATATCATCTGAGCTTCTGGAAGATATATTCGCCAAATTTGGAGATAAACGCATCATCATAACCACACGTCCTGAGCTTCACAGAGATGCTGTCTGTCTGGCCACAAGGCATGAGGTCGATTACCTCTCTCTTGAAACACGGGGATTTGATACCGAAAGACGTAACGAATTTACGAGGAAAGTCTTCAGTACCATGGAGCAAGACGTGATGGAGAACCAAAAACAGACCAAAGAGTTCTTGCTGTATATCCACGAACGAAGGACTACGTTGGGCAGCTACCTAAATCTTCCTCTCACTAGTGCTCTCCTTATGCTAAGTTGGAGACACAATCCTGAGGTGGTGAACCAGTCGACCACAGCTACTCGCCTCTACCAGGAGTTCTACCACCTTCTCCAAAACAAGCTCGCCGAGCGTTTGAGTAAAGATTACATAGGCGTCAATGAGCTGCCGGATGTGCTGGACAGTTTACTGCTCTGTCTGGGTGAGCAAGCCTGGACAATGCTTAATGAAAGCACTGTTTTAATTTCAGATGACTTTAAAAGAAAGATTGAGGAAGAATGTGAGAGAAAGAGAATCAAATTAATCGAGTTATTATCAGGGTTTCACATGTGTCACCTTCATGAAGACCCTGATGAGTGGAAGTTGAAAATATCCTTCCTCCACGACGCTCAGGCCAGCTACCTGGCAGCGACCTTCCTCGCCGAATGTCTACGAAAAGGCAAGATGAAGATGCAAGACATCGGAAACCAAGTGGGAGCCTCTCCGGGGCTTGAACAAGTCCTCCTTTTCCTGATGGGTCACCTAGCTTTCCAAAATGCTCTGACTAGTTCGACAGTGAATGACATTTTTAGCATCATGAAGAAATTAGACATTGATCCCACAAACTACGATTTTTGGTGGAATATATTTGTGGAGAGTCACAGGCACCCTCAGGTCGGTACACTTCTCGCCCGAGACAAACTTTCGCACAAACACTGGCAGCTGAACGACACGAATGCTGTCTCAGCTCTTAGACTTCTCAGCTTCACCCCAGTTAAGTTGGCGAGTTTAACCCTCGATATCTCCGCACTAACGGAGCCCTATGATATACCTAGCTTCATCCAGGCGCTGCAGGAAGTAGGCCAGAACTTAAAAAAACGACAGAAGAAACCTGTGAAGGTGGAACTGCATCTCCGGCGCCATAATACTTGCGACATCAAAACCTCCAATATTTTCCTGAAGGCGGTATGTTCGTGGGGCGACCTAACCAGCTTCACAGGTTTCCTGGGAGAACAGCCTGATGGGGAGGAACTGCTGGCGGGATGCTGCAACCTTAAGACAATACGGGTCAGAATATCTACCGTCGAAGCCTTTACGTCTCTCAGTAATAGTCTCAAGAAAATTCACAAGAGTGTCAAGAGCCTGCATGTAACACTGGCTCTCCCCGGCGAGTGCCCAGTCGAGGCACTTTCAGAGCTAAGGCACAACGGCAATCTCGAAATCAGTGTTGTAGCCACGAAGGATGGACAGAAGGAGTGGATGGAGTCTATCGTCAAGACAATAGGCGGAAGGTAAGAAAGACAACAGAGATTGCGAAAACTGTTGTCATATTACTGTTTGCTATAGCTGCATAACCCATACGGATTTAGCGCTTGTTTTCTTGTTTAGTATAATAATGGTATACTATATTTTAAGCGGTAAATATATAATTTCAGATAAAACAATTACGTAAGTGAGATAAGTATTGCATTATTATTATTATTATTATTATTATTATTATTATTATTATTATTATTATTATTATTATTATTATTATTATTATTATTATTATTATGATTATTATTATGATAATCGTTGGGAATTACAGAACTTCTACTGATCATACAGCACCATGGTAATAGGAGGTAATCAGGTTTGATCCGAGAAAAAGGAGGGCAGCTCCAATTCTTTGAATCAAAATCCTCTCGCCAGTTAAGGCAGCACATGGAGGCGCTAAGTATCTGACGATAAAATATTATCTAAAATAACTCTTAAGCAATCTATGGCCTCCCGACAGCATCATCCAAGAGAACAGCCTCCATGCTGTCACTAGAAAGTTATTCTTAAAGTGGGGACCAAAATGAACTTTCGCTATATATATACTGAGAGATGAGGATTTAAAAGTAAGTTTGGTAATATCAATTTTAATGTGCATTTTTCTGAGTAGAATTTTTCAAACGCTGTTGAACCCCAAAAATTCAAAGGATCGAGATTAATGTACTGTACTATGGGTCAAGATTTTAAAAGACACCTTGATAAATAAAATATAAGGATTTGAAAGAATTTAGATAAATAGAAATTGAGTCGAATTTCAGTATGTGGATAAAGACGTATTTGCACTTTTTTAGTAACCAATAATGGCTATAATTATAGCTATAATTTTTAAAGAGGTGGAGAGTAAGCCAGCGGAAGGCCTCAGTCAGATGACCAAGAGCTCCAGCTTCTGGTCATCATATGACTAAAACCCGCGTCAGGAAGTACTTGTCCTGTTTCCTGACAAACATTATACCTACCTTCCTTCCTTTGAGGAAACGTATCGCCACAAATGACGAACATAGAAGCAGACAGAGCCACCTCACGAAATTCGGAGAGGCTAGCTACTTATAGGTGAAAATAACCAGCTCCGTCGATGGAGGTTAGAGGCCGCCATGATACCAGTAGCTAACACCTTCACACAAAAAATCTGCTTTCTATAGCATTTCTAAAGTCCTAGCAAACCACTTACTACCTATGTGATGAATGGTTTTGAAAACCGACAAGTTGAAGAATTGAGACACTTATGCAACACATGGGAATCTTTATTGAAGAAACGTTTCGCCACACAGTGGCTTCATCAGTCCAATACAAAGTAGAAATGGGTAAGTAGAGTAGAAGTTTGAGGTAATCAGTCCCTCAACCTGGAATCGATGTGTTCAGTCCATCACTCTTGTAGGAAGTGCAGCACAGGGCCAGAGAGGTGGCTTATATACTGCGGTGAGATGAGTCCAAGCAGGAGGAGGCGGGATCACAGGTGGGACCTGCCACTAGTGTAAGTAGGTCGTCGTCCAAAGGTTGGGCAAGCGTTGAAGTCTTTGTACCAAGATCCCATGATGTTGCAGTGTCTGACAGATGTGATGAATGGTTTTGAAAACCGACAAGTTGAAGAATTGAGACACTTATGCAACACATGGGAATCTTTATTGAAGAAACGTTTCGCCACACAGTGGCTTCATCAGTCCAATACAAAGTAGAAATGGGTAAGGAGAGTAGAAGTTTGAGGTAATCAGTCCCTCAACCTGGAATCGATGTGTTCAGTCCATCACTCTTGTGATGGACTGTGTTGTGTGTTGCATAACTGTCTCAATTCTTCCACTTACTACCTAACCAAGATACTCCCGTGTGATGACACTAGCTAGCAACGTCATGTCTGCACCAGGAAGCACTTCAGTGTGCTACTCCAATGCTGACAGGTCCTTAAATTCGCCAGATCTCACCTCAGTTGTACTACTACCACAGCTTGCCTCTCACAGCTTGCCACTTGGCTCCCGCCAACATATATACCAGTTTCTTAGTTGTCACTGTATTAGGACTAAATAAATAAATAAATAATCATGCTAAGAGCTAAGCCCATGCGGATCATTCAGTGCAAGACGTGGTGGAGGCTCGATCCTCCATCCGTCTGCTGAGCCCCTGACAGACGCGCTTCCTATTTGTACCCACCTAGATGTCCTGTATTAGGGCTGAAGAAACCACATGCGGCGAAACGGTTCCTTAACAAATACCATGAAACTGCATATGTGTATGTATATACAAACTGTCAGTATCACAATACATGTCAGTCAAATTTCAATAGTTTACCCATAAGATGGTTCATTTTCTTTGCACTCGCCCAAGTATATTTTCTTTGATAATATGCCAACATAAACTCTAATGTTGTGATTGAATCATTGTTTAAGATTAGTTAGATTTATTTGAGTTTAAACCATCATTACGTAAAAAAATATATTAATGTATGTTATATATAAAGAGTATAGACATACATCAGTGACAGATAATAACTGTTTAGTTATCAGGTTAACATATATCGTAGAAGTGCTACAATACAATACTGTAGTCGATACCCTATAAATCTCATTAACCAACTCATTTAAGGCATACTTACCTGACTCACCCCAGGATGCCATCTACAACAGTCTGATAACACATAGGTACCTGTTTAATGCTAGGTGAACAGCGTCAACAGGTGTATGGAGGCCTATTGTGACCTTATGAGTGGTTATTGTGACCTTATGACTGGTTAGAGAATTGAATGACCCATGATATCAGTGCACTGTAATTACAACAAGAATACAGTGCCTGGGGAATAGGGGGGTAATGACGTTTGATCCAATGAAAGGGTAGCTCTAATTCCAAGGATCGAAAAACCTAATGACATCATCAAGGGACCTCTCTTCAAAAGCTAGGGACATAAATTTTAACAGACTTCTGTTTTGGTGGGCAGAGGCGGGTGTTGGCGTCTGAGTCTGCCAGACTGTGACATGACCTACGATGGCTTGGAGTGGCTGGTCACGCACCTTAAAGGACACGTCCACGACAAGATATCCATCGAAACCGTAGGATGATAATATTAAAGACATGACCCCACGGCTCCAGGGACTCTCCAAGCTACGAGGACTATGGGTGGTGACCATGGGTGGTGACCATGGGTGGTGACCATGGGTGGTGACCATGGGTGGTGACCATGGGTGGTGACCATGGGTGGTGACCATGGGTGGTGACCATGAGTGGTGACCATGGGTGGTGACCATGGGTGGTGACCATGGGTGGTGACCATGAGTGGTGACCATGGGTGGTGACCATGGGTGGTGACCATGAGTGGTGACCATGGGTGGTGACCATGAGTAGTGACCATGGGTGGTGACCATGGGTGGTGACCATGGGTGGTGATCACGGCAAGGATGAACAGTTTAATTAATCATGCTGTGGCTATAAACTCATTATTCTGAAACAAGCTTTCAGTGGAACAACGTTACGCTCACGGAAGAGCTTCATCGATACTTAATAAAGCTCTGCACACAGCGAAACGTTGTACGAATGAAAGCGTGTTCTTTATTGTATCCTCAGAGACACACCCAGCGTGGGTATCATGGCTATACACAAATAACCCGCACATAAAAGAGAGAAGCTTACGACGACGTTTCGGTCCGACTTGGACCATTGACAAAGTCACACTGGTCCAAGTCGGACCGAAACGTCGTCGTAAGCTTCTCTCTTTTATGTGCGGGTTATTTGTGTATCGTTCCAGTCACGGTATTGTGCCTTTTTGTTATTTAATCATGGCTATACATCCAGTCAAGCTGTAAAAATACATTAAAAAATAAATCAAACCCACATGTAACTTCTTTGTAATAGAAAGCTTATTCGAAAGTAAATCTGTAACTGTGTAAATTGGTTACTATTGCTCTGAATAATTCATTACCAGTGTAAGTTGCTTAGCAAACACAGTTGTTGGGGAAAAAGCCTCATGACGCATTAAATGTTTGTTTAATTTTATACCTCCGACCGGATGGACATCTGGTGAGTAATAAAGAAGTCAAACTGCCTCTATATAACTATCACTTATTCTTATGTAATCTATTTTCCGATCTATGTTTCCCAGATATAGTACACTAAAGGGCCTCTGCCTGCAAATCAATTCAAGGCTCTACTTTGAAATCATCTCATCACCCAAAATTAACCAGACAAACCATACTCAATACCTTTCAGTTACTCAAAAACTATACAAAAAACTCCTAAAAAAATTAAGATTCCTCGACTTAAACTAAATTTAACTTTATTATTGTATATTGTGTTAAGGATTGCTCAACCATGTACTCATAACTTCAAAATTAGGATGCTTAAATTCCACTGTCTTAAATAAATATTAAATTGTAATAGTTTCATATTGTAAATTGTTTTAAATTGTTCCATTGTAATATTTCCCTATTGTAAATTAATTAAAATTATACCATTGTTTGTAATAATGTAATTTTTATAAACTAATTTTAAAACTGTAATTACTGACTAGAGAACTTCTGTACTCAACTTATTAAAGCCTGTTAGCATTATCTATAACAACTTAATTCTCTTGCACTCACTGTAACTCATCAAATATCCATACAATTACCAGTTATTGCTTAACTAATTTTAAGTTAATATTAAGGTTGACCGAAATGCTCTGCATACAAACGGGGTTTAACGCTTCCCCATTAATATTGTTTAAACTTGCGCTGCATTGTTGCGTCTGGCAAAGATGCAATGTGGCGTTGCCAGTGCATGAGCGGTGATGAGGGAAGTGATGACGCACTTTCAAGGTGACTTTATTAGTTAGATTTTTCGTGGTAATTAAAAATTTGAAATGCTGACGCAAGAATACAAAACATTCATCAACAGCTTCAGGTAAGACTGTGCTAGTTCATGTATCGTGACTTTAAGGGTGAAGGATGTGAGAGAGAGAGAGAGAGAGAGAGGAAAGTGGGAGAAGAGAGAGAAAGGGGGAAAAGGGGGGAGGGAGGGAGGCGAAGCATGGTGCAAACAGTAGAAATGTTGGTTGCTTTTCCCTGATGAACACAGTTTGTCACTAACAAACAAGACTAGATCACCTTCCATACCCTAGGTACTACAACACCCTTTAACAAAGTGTACTTATATATAATATATATATATATATTATATATATATATATATATATATATATATATATATATATATATATATATGGTAAGACATATGCAACAGTTAGACAACTTTATTCCGAAACGTTTCGCCTACACAGTAGGCTTCTTCAGTCGAATACAGAAAGTAGGCCTACTTTCTGTATTCGACTGAAGAAGCCTACTGTGTAGGCGAAACGTTTCGGAATAAAGTTGTCTAACTGTTGCATATGTGTCTTACCTAACAACCTGTCGGTATTGTATACCATTTTGATAAAAGATAAAAGACTGTTGAGTAGACTTCAGGATGTACATGTTTATAGAGGGGCCACGGATATATCAGATCACTTTCTAGTTGTAGCTACACTGAGAGTAAAAGGTAGATGGGATACAAGGAGAATAGAAGCATCAGGGAAGAGAGAGGTGAAGGTTTATAAACTAAAAGAGGAGGCAGTTAGGGTAAGATATAAACAGCTATTGGAGGATAGATGGGCTAATGAGAGCATAGGCAATGGGGTCGAAGAGGTATGGGGTAGGTTTAAAAATGTAGTGTTAGAGTGTTCAGCAGAAGTTTGTGGTTACAGGAAAGTGGGTGCAGGAGGGAAGAGGAGCGATTGGTGGAATGATGATGTAAAGAGAGTAGTAAGGGAGAAAAAGTTAGCATATGAGAAGTTTTTACAAAGTAGAAGTGATGCAAGGAGGGAAGAGTATATGGAGAAAAAGAGAGAAGTTAAGAGAGTGGTGAAGCAATGTAAAAAGAGAGCAAATGAGAGAGTGGGTGAGATGTTATCAACAAATTTTGTTGAAAATAAGAAAAAGTTTTGGAGTGAGATTAACAAGTTAAGAAAGCCTAGAGAACAAATGGATTTGTCAGTTAAAAAATAGGAGAGGAGAGTTATTAAATGGAGAGGTAGAGGTATTGGGAAGATGGAAGGAATATTTTGAGGAATTGTTAAATGTTGATGAAGATAGGGAAGCTGTGATTTCGTGTATAGGGCAAGGAGGAATAACATCTTGTAGGAGTGAGGAAGAGCCAGTTGTGAGTGTGGGGGAAGTTCGTGAGGCAGTAGGTAAAATGAAAGGGGGTAAGGCAGCCGGGATTGATGGGATAAAGATAGAAATGTTAAAAGCAGGTGGGGATATAGTTTTGGAGTGGTTGGTGCAATTATTTAATAAATGTATGGAAGAGGGTAAGGTACCTAGGGATTGGCAGAGAGCATGCATAGTTCCTTTGTATAAAGGCAAAGGGGATAAAAGAGAGTGCAAAAATTATAGGGGGATAAGTCTGTTGAGTGTACCTGGTAAAGTGTATGGTAGAGTTATAATTGAAAGAATTAAGAGTAAGACGGAGAATAGGATAGCAGATGAACAAGGAGGCTTTAGGAAAGGTAGGGGGTGTGTGGACCAGGTGTTTACAGTGAAACATATAAGTGAACAGTATTTAGATAAGGCTAAAGAGGTCTTTGTGGCATTTATGGATTTGGAAAAGGCGTATGACAGGGTGGATAGGGGGGCAATGTGGCAGATGTTGCAAGTGTATGGTGTAGGAGGTAGGTTACTGAAAGCAGTGAAGAGTTTTTACGAGGATAGTGAGGCTCAAGTTAGAGTATGTAGGAAAGAGGGAAATTTTTTCCCAGTAAAAGTAGGCCTTAGACAAGGATGTGTGATGTCACCGTGGTTGTTTAATATATTTATAGATGGGGTTGTAAGAGAAGTAAATGCGAGGGTCTTGGCAAGAGGCGTGGAGTTAAAAGATAAAGAATCACACACAAAGTGGGAGTTGTCACAGCTGCTCTTTGCCGATGACACTGTGCTCTTGGGAGATTCTGAAGAGAAGTTGCAGAGATTGGTGGATGAATTTGGTAGGGTGTGCAAAAGAAGAAAATTAAAGGTGAATACAGGAAAGAGTAAGGTTATGAGGATAACAAAAAGATTAGGTGATGAAAGATTGAATATCAGATTGGAGGGAGAGAGTATGGAGGAGGTGAACGTATTCAGATATTTGGGAGTGGACGTGTCAGCGGATGGGTCTATGAAAGATGAGGTGAATCATAGAATTGATGAGGGAAAAAGAGTGAGTGGTGCACTTAGGAGTCTGTGGAGACAAAGAACTTTGTCCTTGGAGGCAAAGAGGGGAATGTATGAGAGTATAGTTTTACCAACGCTCTTATATGGGTGTGAAGCGTGGGTGATGAATGTTGCAGCGAGGAGAAGGCTGGAGGCAGTGGAGATGTCATGTCTGAGGGCAATGTGTGGTGTGAATATAATGCAGAGAATTCGTAGTTTGGAAGTTAGGAGGAGGTGCGGGATTACCAAAACTGTTGTCCAGAGGGCTGAGGAAGGGTTGTTGAGGTGGTTCGGACATGTAGAGAGAATGGAGCGAAACAGAATGACTTCAAGAGTGTATCAGTCTGTAGTGGAAGGAAGGCGGGGTAGGGGTCGGCCTAGGAAGGGTTGGAGGGAGGGGGTAAAGGAGGTTTTGTGTGCGAGGGGCTTGGACTTCCAGCAGGCATGCGTGAGCGTGTTTGATAGGAGTGAATGGAGACAAATGGTTTTTAATACTTGACGTGCTGTTGGAGTGTGAGCAAAGTAACATTTATGAAGGGATTCAGGGAAACCGGCAGGCCGGACTTGAGTCCTGGAGATGGGAAGTACAGTGCCTGCACTCTGAAGGAGGGGTGTTAATGTTGCAGTTTAAAAACTGTAGTGTAAAGCACCCTTCTGGCAAGACAGTGATGGAGTGAATGATGGTGAAAGTTTTTCTTTTTCGGGCCACCCTGCCTTGGTGGGAATCGGCCGGTGTGATAATAAAAAAAAAAAAAAATATATGGAAAAATGTCATAATGGTTTACTTTATTAGGCTATCCTACATTAAATTACATTACGTATAATTTAAGTGACCATATCTGTGCCCTCTAAAACCACTATTTTTTTTTTTGTTATATACCCAGAGCTTTCATAAAAATTTAGCACACTGCTAGTGTATCAAATTTTGCTAAATAGTAAAAAAAAAAATCCTATAAATGCCTCTTTTTTCAATCAAGACTCCTCAAGGGAGTTGCCCCGATGCCGGTGAAGGGTTCTTGATCCAAGGAATTGAATCTCACTGCCTCCCCAGGTGCAGTTTAGCTCCTACGTTTTTAGAGCATCCCACTCATTAAACAAAAATTAAATCAAGCGATGGTATGGTTTGGTCTTTTGTTTATCGATATAGAGTAAATTTTGTTCGATAAATTTTCTCTCTGAGAAATATATATTATCCGGGCAGCTTGTACAACATTTTGGTAAATGTCATCTAGATAGTTTTGGTCACTATCGCTGGTCAGGTTCCTGTCTAGAACTCCCATTAAAAAATTACCCCAGTTAACAATAGTTCAGTGTTGAATATGTCCCCCCTCATCAATTTCAAAGAAATTTCCATAAGGGGTAAAAACAAAATTCTTAGAACTCCAGATGAAACTCTAACGTGTAAATTTCACTGAAAGTAGAACCTCCACGATGATTACATTTTGTCAACGGTGGTTCATATCAAAGATAGTAAGTAACCTTGGATACATTTTATGTATGAAGGACATAGGCAATGAAATCTGCATCATGTTTCGAGAGAATGGCAGCCGAGCAAATGCCGCCACGTTTTAATATATATAAACTATCACAAAATAAATATTCATTAATATAAGCGTGGCATTTAATCCAAGGGTGTTTGTACAGCTTAGTTAATACTATACAGGTAATGTACAAGACTGAGACGCGTACACTCAAGCTTTAGTTCACTCAGAATTTAATCAAATAACATTCGGATTTTTAACCCGGATGATTAGCCACTCGAAATAACCCAATGAAATCAGTGCATAATCGAGGACTTAGATAAGAGTCGTCAGGAAACAGGACAAGTGTTTCCTGACGCGGGTCTTAGTTATGCGATGACCCGCCACTAGAGCTTTTGGTCAACTGATCGATGCCTTCCACTGGCTAATCCGTCCATCCCATTGAAGATTAAGGGCATAATTATAAAAAGGAAGTTCCCTGGGACTTCCTTGTCTCATTTTCCACTGGTTTAGTTTAACATGTTTATTATGCACCCCATACCCATGGTGTGGGCGGTAGCCAAAAGGTAGTCAGAGGTACATAATGGGTCCAGGGACTGGTCCCCAAAGTTTTGATAGCTGAGTAAGTTACAAAGGTAATGAACTCCAGGTGGATCTAATGGGATGTGATCCACAACAGTCGAGTAATACCCAGGTACCTACTTACTGCTAGGTGAACAGATACAGCAGGTATAAAGAAATATGCTTCACATATCATCCATAACGAGTATAGGAGACTCAGTGTGAGCTGAGGACGCTACCAACTAAGCCACGACACCACCACTATGCTACAACACAGTATCTCCTATGTAGCTAAGATAAAAAATAAATCGTAAGATTAAACCAGTGAGTCAGTCCTCATAGATACAAGGAAATTATCTCTTATCGTACACACTACTGACACCAGAAAATCAATATCAGTGAGTACAATACTTCTACTTGCCATAGCAAGGTAACTTTTATTCGTGCAAATAAATACAGTTGGAATTTCACATTAAAATAAGGCAGAATTAATAAACTTTGAATTAAAAAGAAAATACAACGAGCCTGGTAATAAGGATGACAGAACACTAAGGACATACATGTGAGCTACATTTCTGTCCTGGGACCTTGGACACTCATTTAGAAGTGACACATATGGAGTGACCAACGTCCCAGCAGCGAAACGTGTATAATAAAAATGTGTTCGGTGCATGTAGTGGTGTTCTTCCATCCATAATACCCTCTTATCTGTGGATATATTCTTGTGTCTGGCAATGATGCAGGCGGCGTTGCCAGAGCAGCAACAGTGATGGCGGAGGAGAGACACTCTCACCTTGTGTCTTCATTATTTACATTTTCGTTGTAACTAAACATATTTGTGCACTGACACACGAATGTGCGCATTCGTCAACCACTCCAGGTAAGCCAGTGCCACATACTAAGTCGTGACGTGAAGGGTGGAGGATGTGAGAGCGAGGTAGATGATACAGGGTGATGTGTTCTCAAAGCAACAGTCATCAGCAAGCAATATTTGAGAGGCTTCTGATCCGAGGAAATGGAGAGGCTCTGCTTCCTCATATCAAGGCTGAGGACCTTTCATGCCCACTTCCCTACGTGCTGTAGTACTACCAGCACACACTATAGGATGCTCTTGATCCCTAGCCCCTCAAGGTAGGTTCCTTGATGTTGGTGAGGGGCTCTTAATTTAGGGAATTGGATCTGTGCTCCAGTTCCCCGAATTAAGCCTGAATGCCTTCCACATCCCCCCCCCCAGGTGCTGTATAATCCTCCGGGTTTAGCGCTTCCCCCTTGATTATTATTATAATAATCTTGATCCCTAGGAATTGGAGCTGTCCTCTTCCTCGGATCAGAGCTTTAAATTCAAATTTTTATTTATTTATGGGGTACAAAAAGTAATGCAGTTTACATGTAGTAGAGCATTGATTGGCACAGAAGAAAACCACCCACTAATATACAGTGCAATCCATTTCCCAGGACATAACCCAAACTAGCGATACATCTTATGATGATGATGATGATGATGATAATAATAATAATAACGATAATAATAATGATAATGACAATGTAGTTATTTGTTACAATAAATGGCTGGAACATCCAGCTAAATAGTGCACAGTTTTCATTGCACGGAGACAGAGTTAGCTTTACTAATGATATTACCTACGGGTGGGAGGTTATTTTGCAGCAAGGAATTCAGTTTTTTTTTTTAACATATGGGTTTAGCGCTTCCCCATGATAATAATAATAATTTAAACAAATATTTATCTGTTTTAGCCAAGTTCTTACTACAATTTCTACAAGCATCAGGGCTGTAGAAAACAACAGGGCAGAGGTTCTACACTGTTTTAGTGTTCGAGTTGTACTTAATAATAATAATATCTTTATTTCTACAAGTACATGTACAAGGTATACAGGCCTAGCTGACATCAATAATAATATCTTTATTTCTACAAGTACATGTACAAAGTATACAGACCTAGCTGACATCAGTGACATACTACTATATAGAAAGCCACTTTTTATGCAGAGCATTTCTAGCAGATTAGATAAATTTTTGTTCCAGGATGCGACCCACGCCAGTCGACTAACATCCAGGTTCCCATTTTACTGATGGGTGAATAGGAACAGCAGGTGTTATGGAAACACGTCCTAATGTTTTCCAGTCGTACCGCTGGATCGATCCCTGGACCTCTGTGTGAGCTTGGTGCGCTAGCGATTGAGCTACGGTACGGGACTTGATTTATGGGAAGTATTACATGAAATTTTAAACCGTATTTCGGAGCATTTAATGTATTTTTCCGTACTGACCTTCCTCTGCCTAAAGCCTCTTAACTCTGTGATCAGAGAACACTGTGACTTAACCATTGACCCGTGGCTTGGTTGGCAACGCTCTCGGCTCACACGCGATCCGTGGTTCGATCTCCGATACGGATGGAAATGCTGGGTGTTTCCTTACACATGCTGTCCCTATTCACCTACCAGTAAGTAGGTACCTGGGTGTTAGTCGACTGGTGTGGGTCGCATACTGGTGGACAAGATTGAATGACCCCAAAGAAGTAAGAGAGAGAGTCCTCGACAACTGACTTTCTTGTCTAACCCTCTGGGTTAAAAATCCCAACAAATCTTTTATACTATCTTGTTCTCTCATATCAGGGGACTTGACAATCCTAACTGTAGCACCACAGAGAATGAGGCTTCAGCTGAACACTTCCACCCCTTCTGTTCAGTTGTTCACATGTTAGTTACCACTTTTATACATGAGTTGAATTGCAATTTTATAAGGCTGGTTAGTTCAGTCCCCTCAAGGGAGGTTCCTTGACGCTAGTGAGGGGCTCTTGATTTAGGGAATTGGATCTGTGTTCCAGTTCCCTGAAGTGAGCCTAAATACCTTCCATCCCTCCACACGCTGTATAATCCTACGGGTTTAGCCCTCCCCGTGATTATATCTTGAAACGTATAAGAGACAATTTTAGAAAGGACTTAATTTTAAATGAGTTCTTGCTAATTGACCAGTTTTACATATTCGGCACGACATATATATATATATATATATATATATATATATATATATATATATATATATATATATATATATATATATATATATATATATATAGTGCCGAATATGTAAAACTGGTCAATTAGCAAAAACTCATTTAAAATTAAGTCCTTTCTAAAATTTTATCTTATACGTTTAAAGATATATATTTTTTTCATTAATGTTGATGTAAAAATTTATAATTTTGCACCAAAGGAAAATTAGAAAACTTACCTAACCTTATTATAACAAGAACAATTTATTTTAGATTAACCCAACTAAATATATTTTAGATTTGTTTACAATAATTTAATACTAAACAAACAGTGAAATATGTTTTTTTCGTTAGATTCAGAATGATTTTGGCGAAATTATTGCATACACAAAATTTCGCTTGTCCTATATGGCAAGATGAGCGTTGCTGTTTAAGCCAACATCGCAAGTTCTGCCTATTCGGCACGATATATATATATATATATATATATATATATATATATATATATATATATATATATATAATATATATATATATATATATATATTATATATATATATATAATTATTATTTTTTTTTTTTATTATCACACCGGCCGATTCCCACCAAGGCAGGGTGGCCCGAAAAAGAAAAACTTTCACCATCATTCACTCCATCACTGTCTTGCCAGAAGGGTGCTTTACACTACAGTTTTTAAACTGCAACATTAACACCCCTCCTTCAGAGTGCAGGCACTGTACTTCCCATCTCCAGGACTCAAGTCCGGCCTGCCGGTTTCCCTGAATCCCTTCATAAATGTTACTTTGCTCACACTCCAACAGCACGTCAAGTATTAAAAACCATTTGTCTCCATTCACTCCTATCAAACACGCTCACGCATGCCTGCTGGAAGTCCAAGCCCCTCGCACACAAAACCTCCTTTACCCCCTCCCTCCAACCCTTCCTAGGCCGACCCCTACCCCGCCTTCCTTCCACTACAGACTGATACACTCTTGAAGTCATTCTGTTTCGCTCCATTCTCTCTACATGTCCGAACCACCTCAACAACCCTTCCTCAGCCCTCTGGACAACAGTTTTGGTAATCCCGCACCTCCTCCTAACTTCCAAACTACGAATTCTCTGCATTATATTCACACCACACATTGCCCTCAGACATGACATCTCCACTGCCTCCAGCCTTCTCCTCGCTGCAACATTCATCACCCACGCTTCACACCCATATAAGAGCGTTGGTAAAACTATACTCTCATACATTCCCCTCTTTGCCTCCAAGGACAAAGTTCTTTGTCTCCACAGACTCCTAAGTGCACCACTCACTCTTTTTCCCTCATCAATTCTATGATTCACCTCATCTTTCATAGACCCATCCGCTGACACGTCCACTCCCAAATATCTGAATACGTTCACCTCCTCCATACTCTCTCCCTCCAATCTGATATTCAATCTTTCATCACCTAATCTTTTTGTTATCCTCATAACCTTACTCTTTCCTGTATTCACCTTTAATTTTCTTCTTTTGCACACCCTACCAAATTCATCCACCAATCTCTGCAACTTCTCTTCAGAATCTCCCAAGAGCACAGTGTCATCAGCAAAGAGCAGCTGTGACAACTCCCACTTTGTGTGTGATTCTTTATCTTTTAACTCCACGCCTCTTGCCAAGACCCTCGCATTTACTTCTCTTACAACCCCATCTATAAATATATTAAACAACCACGGTGACATCACACATCCTTGTCTAAGGCCTACTTTTACTGGGAAAAAATTTCCCTCTTTCCTACATACTCTAACTTGAGCCTCACTATCCTCGTAAAAACTCTTCACTGCTTTCAGTAACCTACCTCCTACACCATACACTTGCAACATCTGCCACATTGCCCCCTATCCACCCTGTCATACGCCTTTTCCAAATCCATAAATGCCACAAAGACCTCTTTAGCCTTATCTAAATACTGTTCACTTATATGTTTCTCTGTAAACACCTGGTCCACGCACCCCCTACCTTTCCTAAAGCCTCCTTGTTCATCTGCTATCCTATTCTCCGTCTTACTCTTAATTCTTTCAATTATAACTCTACCATACACTTTACCAGGTACACTCAACAGACTTATCCCCCTATAATTTTTGCACTCTCTTTTTTCCCCTTTGCCTTTATACAAAGGAACTATGCATGCTCTCTGCCAATCCCTAGGTACCTTACCCTCTTCCATACATTTATTAAACAATTGCACCAACCACTCCAAAACTATATCCCCACCTGCTTTTAACATTTCTATCTTTATCCCATCAATCCCGGCTGCCTTACCCCCTTTCATTTTACCTACTGCCTCACGAACTTCCCCCACACTCACAACTGGCTCTTCCTCACTCCTACAAGATGTTATTCCTCCTTGCCCTATACACGAAATCACAGCTTCCCTATCTTCATCAACATTTAACAATTCCTCAAAATATTCCTTCCATCTTCCCAATACCTCTAACTCTCCATTTAATAACTCTCCTCTCCTATTTTTAACTGACAAATCCATTTGTTCTCTAGGCTTTCTTAACTTGTTAATCTCACTCCAAAACTTTTTCTTATTTTCAACAAAATTTGTTGATAACATCTCACCCACTCTCTCATTTGCTCTCTTTTTACATTGCTTCACCACTCTCTTAACCTCTCTCTTTTTCTCCATATATATATATATATATATATATATATATATATATATATATATATATATATATATATATATATATATATATATTGTATATATATATATGTATATAAAATCCTACGGGTTTAACCCTCCCCGTGATTATATCTTTAAACGTATAAGAGGCAATTTTAGAAAGGACTTAATTTTAAATGAGTTCTTGCTAATTGACCAGTTTTACATATTCGGCACTATGTGTATATATATATATATATATATATATATATATATATATATATATATATATATATATATATATATATATATATATATATATATATATATATGTCGTGCCGAATAGGCAGAACTTGCGATCTTGGCTTAAATAGCAACGCTCATCTTGCCACATAGGACAAGCGAAAATTTGTGTATGCAATAATTTCGCCAAAATTATTCTGAGCCTAACGAAAAAAATATATTTCAATGTGTTTGTTTAATATTAAATTATTGTAAACAAATCTAAAATATACATATAGTTTGGTTAGTCTAAAATAAATTGTTCTTGTTATAATAAGGTTAGGTAAGTTCTCTAAGATTCCTTTGGTGCAAAATTAAAAAAATTTACATTAACATTAATGAAAAAAATATATCTTTAAACGTATAAGAGAAATTTTTACAAAGGACTTAATTTTAAATGAGTTCTTGCTAATTGACCAGTTTAACATATTCGGCACGACATATATATATATATATATATATATATATATATATATATATATATATATATATATATATATATATATATATATATATATATATATATATATATATATAAGGATTATGTGGAGTAAAATAAAGATTGGATGTGAAAAGTGGGTTATAGTAAGCGTGTATGCACCTGGAGAAGAGAAGTGTAGAGGAGAGAGAGAGAGAGATTCTGGGAAATGTTGAGTGAATGCGTGGGGAGTTTTGAATCAAGTGTGAGAGTAATGGTGGCTGGGGATTTCAATGCTAAAGTGGGTAAAAATGTTATGGAGGGAGTAGTAGGTAAATTTGGGGTGCCAGGGGTAAATGTAAATGGGGAGCCTTTAATTGAGCTATGTGTAGAAAGAAATTTGGTAATAAGTAATACATATTTTATGAAAAAGAGGATAAATAAATATACAAGGTATGATGTAGCACGTAATGAAAGTAGTTTGTTAGATTATGCATTGGTGGATAAAAGGTTGATGGGTAGGCTCCAGGATGTACATGTTTATAGAGGGGCAACTGATATATCGGATCATTATTTAGTTGTAGCTAAAGTTAGAGTAAGAGGTAGATGGGAAAAGAGGAAGGTGGCAACAACAAGTAAGAGGGAGGTGAAAGTGTATAAACTAAGGGAGGAGGAAGTTCGGGCGAGATATAAGCGACTATTGGCAGAAAGGTGGGCTAGTGCAAAGATGAGTAGTGGGGGGGGGGGTTGAAGAGGGTTGGAATAGTTTTAAAAATGCAGTATTAGAATGTGGGGCAGAAGTTTGTGGTTATAGGAGGGTGGGGGCAGGAGGAAAAAGGAGTGATTGGTGGAATGATGAAGTAAAGGGTGTGATAAAACAGAAAAAGGTAGCTTACGAGAGGTTTTTACAAAGCAGAAGTGTTATAAGAAGAGCAGAGTATATGGAGAGTAAAAGAAAGGTGAAGAGAGTGGTGAGAGAGTGCAAAATGAGAGCAGATGAAAGAGTGGGAGAGGCACTGTCAAGAAATTTTAATGAAAATAAGAAGAAAATTTGGAGTGAGTTAAACAAGTTAAGAAAGCCTAGGGAAAGTATGGATTTTTCAGTTAAAAACAGAGTAGGGGAGTTAGTAGATGGGGAGAGGGAGGTATTAGGTAGATGGCGAGAATATTTTGAGGAACGTTTAAATGTTGAGGAAGAAAGGGAGGCGGTAATTTCATGCACTGGCCAGGGAGGTATACCATCTTTTAGGAGTGAAGAAGAACAGAATGTAAGTGTGGTGGAGGTACGTGAGGCATTACGTAGAATGAAAGGGGGTAAAGCAGCTGGAACTGATGGGATCATGACAGAAATGTTAAAAGCAGGGGGGGATATAGTGTTGGAGTGGTTGGTACTTTTGTTTAATAAATGTATGAAAGAGGGGAAGGTACCTAGGGATTGGCGGAGAGCATGTATAGTCCCTTTATATAAAGGGAAAGAGGACAAAAGAGATTGTAAAAATTATAGAGGAATAAGTTTACTGAGTATACCAGGAAAAGTATACGGTAGGGTTATAATTGAAAGAATTAGAGGTAAGACAGAATGTAGGATTGCGGATGAGCAGGGAGGCTTCAGAGTGGGTAGGGGATGTGTAGATCAAGTGTTTACATTGAAGCATATATGTGAACAGTATTTAGATAAAGGTAGGGAAGTTTTTATTGCATTTATGGATTTAGAAAAGGCATATGATAGAGTGGATAGAGGAGCAATGTGGCAGATGTTGCAAGTATATGGAATAGGTGGTAAGTTAATAAATGCTGTTAAGAGTTTTTATGAGGATAGTGAGGCTCAGGTTAGGGTATGTAGAAGAGAGGGAGAATACTTCCCGGTAAAAGTAGGTCTTAGACAGGGATGTGTAATGTCACCATGGTTGTTTAATATATTTATAGATGGAGTTGTAAAAGAAGTAAATGCTAGGGTGTTCGGGAGAGGGGTGGGATTAAATTATGGGGAATCAAATTCAAAATGGGAACTGACACAGTTACCTTTTGCTGATGATACTGTGCCTATGGGAGATTCTAAAGAAAAATTGCAAAGGTTAGTGGATGAATTTGAGAATGTGTGTAAAGGTAGAAAGTTGAAAGTGAACATAGAAAAGAGTAAGGTGATGAGGGTATCAAATGATTTAGATAAAGAAAAATTGGATATCAAATTGGGGAGGAGGAGTATGGAAGAAGTGAATGTTTTCAGATACTTGGGAGTTGACGTGTCGGCGGATGGGTTTATGAAGGATGAGGTTAATCATAGAATTGATGAGGGAAAAAAGGTGAGTGGTGCGTTGAGGTATATGTGGAGTCAAAAAGCGTTATCTATGGAGGCAAAGAAGGGAATGTATGAAAGTATAGTAGTACCAACACTCTTATATGGATGTGAAGCATGGGTGGTAAATGCAGCAGCGAGGAGACGGTTGGAGGCAGTGGAGATGTCCTGTCTATGGGCAATGTGTGGTGTAAATATTATGCAGAAAATTCGGAGTGTGGAAATTAGGAGAAGGTGTGGAGTTAATAAAAGTATTAGTCAAAGGGCAGAAGAGGGGTTGTTGAGGTGGTTTGGTCATTTAGAGAGAATGGATCAAAGTAGAATGACATGGAAAGCCTATAAATCTATAGGGGAAGGAAGGCGGGGTAGGGGTCGTCCTCGAAAGGGTTGGAAAGAGGGGGTAAAGGAGGTTTTGTGGGCGAGGGGCTTGAACTTCCAGCAAGCGTGCATGAGCGTGTTAGATAGGAGTGAATGGAGACGAATGATACTTGGGACCTGACGATCTGTTGGAGTGTGAGCAGGGTAATATTTAGTGAAGGGATTCAGGGAAACTGGTTATTTTCATATAGTCGGACTTGAGTCCTGGAAATGGGAAGTACAATGCCTGCACTTTAAAGGAGGGGTTTGGGATATTGGCAATTTGGAAGGATATGTTGTGTATCTTTATACGTATATGCTTCTAAACTGTTGTATTCTGAGCACCTCTGCAAAAGCAGTGATAATGTGAGTGTGGTGAAAGTGTTGAATGATGATGAAAGTATTTTCTTTTTGGGGATTTTCTTTCTTTTTTGGGTCACCCTGCCTCGGTGGGAGACGACCGACTTGTTGAAAAAAAATATATATAGATATATTAAGACAGATTGTTTTTAAATGTATTAATAGTTTTGTTTACTTTACAGGTTCCCCACACAACGCTTGGAATGAAACACTACAGATTAGCTTATAAATGTCTCATCTGAGGGCAAGGATACTCTTACTCTTTATTCTTGCAAATATTTCCAAGGGCTCAAGATGTCTGAGATTTACACAACGGAAGACTTTATTTTTAGTAAACTCTATAAATGTGTTCACGTTCCTGGGAAAATGGTTATGCAAGATATAGCAAAGGCTATGTACGCAGACCCTGGCATGAACACACAAAACGGAACTCTGTCACTCAGAGATTATTGCACACAGAAGGGCATTAGGCCAGAAGACCACTTCCATGGAGACAATGCGAGCTTTCTGGACTGTGATCTCATGAACGAAGACTTTGACATTTCTTTCGCATATTTGCTGATGAAAGAGGTATGTGACGCACTCTGCTCAAAACTGAGGTGTCAGCAGAAAATTGTCGACCTGAAAAACCTCAGAAACCGTATTAATCATTGTTATTCAGACGCTGAGGACAATATGAAGGAAACATGCAGAAAGCTGAAAGCCATCATTGAAGATATTTATGTAGATGGGAGCTCGGTACTGAACAGGAATTTTGACGCAGAGGCATCACGTACATTACAGATCTTTGAGGACATTATAGCTGCAGAGATACAGACAGATAATATGGACGTCTCTCATGACATAGAGAAATTTAAGAATGATAATTTATTTAAAATGATTCATCATGGAAGAAGGGAACTTGGGGAGCGCTTAGATAATTGGAAGATTCTGAATCCTTTCATCGTATTGTTAAATGACGATCACAAAGTCGAACACTTTCGAGTTGAGAAGATATTTACACCATTGGAAATTGAGGACAGAATGGGGAATATTGATGTGAACGAAATTTTGACCGTGACAGTGAAAGTAGAAAAGATTTTACCAAGGGTGTTACTGTTTCATGGCGTGTCTGGTTGCGGAAAAACATCACTATGCCGACACCTTTTTGATAGGTGGCTGATGAAAAATTCAGACATACAAGGACTTGACGAATTTGATCTCGTTTTTCTTGTGGAAGTCCGGACAGTGCGTTCAGACACTGTTTTAGAATACTTAAGTGAGCAGCTGATGCAAGAAACGTGTGGTTATTTTAAAAGGGAAGATATTCCTTTCTTACTGAGTGAGCTAAGGCTTTTATTCATCATTGATGGCTTTGATGAAAAAACAGATAGAGCCAGTAAACTTGTGAAAGACATTTTTCAAAACTTCAATGACCATCGCATAATAATCACAACCCGTCATGAGAAACTGAAGGATGCTATAACATTAGCCAAAACACACAATGTTGAATTTCTTTGCATTAAGGTGTGTGGCTTCAGTGATGATAAAGTTGAGGAGTTCTCCCAGGAAACTATTCGGAGAAATAATGGATGAAAGTGAACGTGATAGAGAGCTAAATAAGTTTTTAAAGTATATTGATGGGCCAGGAAGAGTGTTAGATGAACACCTGAGGCTTCCATTAACTATTTCCCTCTTGATCATTCTTTGGAAACATGACTCAAAAATAGTAAATAATGTGACCACTCTTACGCGTCTTTATCAAGAGATTTTTGGACTCAGCAAAGAAAGGTTAGCCAGGCGGATGGCCAATAGAGGTGCTTTGCCATTTAAGGCCCTGAAAAGAGTCCTAAGTGAGATGCTGCTGCTTCTAGGAGAACAAGCATGGAGTATGCTACAGAAGGATGAATACACACTGAATGAAGAAAATTTAAAAAAAATTAATGAAATGTGTCGAAGCAAAAAAATAGAGAATCCAGAGGACATTTTATCAGCGTTTTTAATGTGTGAGACTGATAAGAATTCTAGAATGAAAAATTATGTGTTTAAGTTCTTCCACAAAAGTCAGATGGAATATTTTGCTGCAAGATGGCTGGGGGAATGTATCAGTCAAGAGAGAAGCTTAAAGAATGTAGCAAACCAGCACGAGAGTTGGATCAAGTATCGAGAGGTTATAAAGTATATAACAGGTGAGTTGGCAAGCAAAAAACATCTGAAGGACAAAATTGATGACTTGTTTAGCCTCATTGATAAAGCAGATATAGAAAATCTGGATTATAACTTCTGGTGGAATATCATCAACGAATGTAATCCAATTATAAGAGTCAATGAAGATAAATTTGAGCATGTGAAGCATGATCAAGTAAACAAACGCATTGGTGAACAAAAAATAAACCTCAGAGACTGGGACCTGAATCACGAAAATGTTGTTTCAGCATTGAAACTTCTTTGCTGCACTCCAGTCAATCCTTCAAGCCTTAAGATAGATATTATGGGGAGTAAAAATCCTCACAAAATCCCCATGTTTCTGGACACAATGAATGGTGAAAGTCTGAAAAAGCTATCCCGCAAGATTGACGTGAATCTGGCTTTATCTTGCCATGGACGATATGATTGCCAAGACACTTCTGATGCATTCATAGATGCACTCAAACCATGGGCAAATTTGACGCATTTTATTGGCGGTCTTAAGGAGCCAAAAAACTTTTGGGATTACACTAACCTGAGGACCATCGACGTGAGAGTGATAACTGTCGAGGCTCTAGAAACCTTGAAAAAAATTCGTAAATCTGTGAGGACTCTTCGTCTTAAACTCCAATTGTCCCCAGAAGAGTGCCCAGCAAAACTTTTGCCTGATCTACAGTACACGGGAAACCTTGAAATCAGCCTGGATAATATGGAAGATAAGCACAAAAACTGGATACTGGACGTTGTAAAACAACTGGCTGGCAGGTAATTTATTTTTGTTTGATACCCTTCAACAGGGGCGTGTTGATGCTGGTGAAGGGTCTTCGATCAAAGGAATTTGAGCCACCCTCCCCTTGGATTAAACCTTATTAACGCTCAACGACCCATACGGTTTTAAAATTTGTGTAATATTATAGTGCCTACCGAAGTTTCCCCTCAAGGAATGCCGCGCTGTATAGCCCTTGTGGCTTAGCGCTTCTTTTTGATTATAATAATAATAATAATCCCCTCAAGGAAGGTTCCTTGATGCTGGGGAGGGGCTCTTGATCTTGGGAACTGGATCTGTGCTCCAGTTCCCTGAATTAAGCCTAAATACCTTCTATCCCTCCACAGGCGCTGTATAATCCTACGGGTTTAGCGCTTCCTCTGTTTTTAATTTTCTTTGGAACAGCGCCCCTGGGGGAATGGAAGGCATTCAAGTCCAGTCCAAGGAAAGGGAGAACAGGTCTATTTCCTTGGATCAAGAACCCCTCACAGGCAGACATGACCATATCCAAGCCTAAACGTCTCTTGCATTAGGTATTGACATTTTTTTTTCTAATTTTGAATGTCTGTAACCCCATGTGTGGATACACATATATTCTGCTAATTATTCTTATTATTAGTGGAGTTGTGATTCAAATAATAGTTACCCCTGTGCTAATTACTCATTATTAGTGGAGTTGATACTAACAATAATTATCCTGTGTTAATTACTCTTATTAGTGAAGTTGTCAGGCTAACAATAAACTAACAATAATTATCCTGTGTTAATTACTCTTATTAGTGAAGTTGTCAGGCTAACAATAATTACCCTATGTTAAATACTCAGTGACGCTAATAATAGTTACCCCTGTGTTAATTGCACTTCAGCTGCTCTTTATACAGGATATCTACACCGAGAGTGCTTCTTTCAGCGTATGTATGCCGAAAGACCTTTGTGGGTTCTAAAACGCTTTTGTTTAATTGATTCTAACAATAGCAATAAAAAAAACACTAACACTAATAATGGTAATAATATATTTTAGGGATTGAAACATTCTTGTCTGGAGTAAAGAGATTACGTGCAGCCTTAATGACTGCAGTATAGTTGATAGGCTTTAAGCCCCGTTAACAAACCAGTTTGTTATATGCTGTGAAAAAGTTTTTGATCTAAGGAAATGAGGTTACACTTTCGTTCCTTGAATCAAACCGTATTATCTTCCATTTATCAGTGCTGTTTTGACCTTACTAGTTCATTTCTCCCCTGATGAATATATTCACAAGCAGTTGGAAAAGACAAATTGGAAATGTTCGGGTCAGGGATCTTCGACACTCCAAATATGGACCTTAACCTGATCAAGTTCCCTAGAGCGAAACGTTTCCGATAAAAATGTGTTTGCGTTTTGTGTCTTTTTTCCAACGGCATGTCGGTATCACTTACCGTTTTTAAGAATCTAGATTGTTTTCGTGGCAGCAAGGGATGCTGGCGCCTGGTAATACATTTCTCCACGGTGACGAGGAAGGATCTGGAGTGGTTACTGAGGAGACTTAGTAAAGGTGTTGTACAAAAGCTCACCATTGAAGCAACTATAATCACAAGGAAGACAAAGAGTTCTCAATAAAAAAGAAAAACGAAATTGTATGGCTCGATTAACACGAAGATTTGGAAAGCAGGTAAGACAGTGTATCGTTTTAAATTGGATCAGTCTTTTGTCTCTCGCTTTATATAGGCTGAGTTTACTTTAATCCCCATTTTAGGGATTAAAAAATTTTTCAGGGGTGATTAACAGGTAACAGTTATTTAACCATATTTCCTTGGCATTTTATACCATTTGGGTTTTTAACTCCTTATGAACATAATATAATCATTATGCTATTGCGGTTCTTAAATTGTACATTTTGATTTTGGCCTCAAAATTTGGGAAACAAAAAAAAGTTTTTTAAGAAAATAAGGATATATTTTTAAATGGCAAAAATAGCTGGGGAAGGTTGGGAGTAGGTCGAGCAGTGGAAAAGGTTGTGGAGAAGGTAAGAGAGGTAAAAAACCCTTAAAGTAATGTGGCCCGGTGGCCTGGTGGCTAAAGCTCCCGCTTACCAGGGGGCCCGGGTTCGATTCCCGGCGGGGGGAAAAACTTCCCGACACGTTTCCTTACCCTGTTGCCCTGTTCACCACACAAATGGTACCGGGGTGTTAGTCGACTGTGTGGGTCGCATCCTGGGGAAAAATTTAAAGGGACCCCAATGGAAAAAATTAGACAGCCCTCGATGACGCCTGACTTCTTGGGTTATCCTGGGGGGCTAACTCTCGGGTTTAAAAAACCGAACGAAATCTTTTTTTAATCTTTATCTGACCCTCTGGGGGGTTTTTTGGGAGGGGGTTTTTGTCAGAGCGTTCGTTAAAATTTCCCGAAGGGTTCCATTACATCTTGAATCATAGTTATGAACTATTAGATTACTTAATAAGAAGTTTAATAGTGGATTAAATTTGTGTGCTGATGAGTTACCCCTTTGAATTTTGTGATGCGTTGATTTGTTGTCGTAAAAATTGTTGATACAGGGATTTATTGTTTGGAACTGTATGACCCGGGGTATTATTTTCTTGGAATTGTATGATCCGGGGGATTTTTGTTTTGGGATTGTATGATTCAGGGGATTTATTGTCTGGGAAATGTATGATTCAAAAATTTATTGTTTGGGAATTGTATGATTAGGGGATTTAGTCGGGAATTGTATATTCAGAGGTTTTATTGTCTTGGAATTGTTTATTCGGTTATATACAGATGGCCATTATTTATTTTTTTATTTTATCACCGGCCGTTTCCCCCCAACGGGGGGCCCGAAAAAAAAAATTTTACCACATTCACTCCACACTGTTTTTCCCAAAGGGTCTTTACACACAGTTTTTAAACGCAACATTACCCCCCTCCTTCAAGTGCGCACTGTACTTCCCATCTCCAGGACTCAAGCCGGCCTGCCGGGTTTCCCCGAACCCTTCATAAAGTTACTTTTTCCATCCAACAGCACGTCAATATTAAAACCATTTGTCTCCATTCATCCTATCAACCGCTCACGGGACCCTGGGAAATCCAACCCCCCCCGCACACAAAACCCCCTTTACCCCCCCCCCTCCCAAACCCTTCCCAGGGCCCACCCACCCCGCCTTCCTTCCATACAGACTGATACACTCTTGAAGTCTTTTTGTTTTGCCCATTCTCTTACATGTCCAACCACCTCAACAACCCCTTCCCACCCCTCTGACAACAGTTTTGGTAATCCCCACCCCCCCCTAACTTCCAAACTACGAATTCTCTGCATTTATTTACACCACACATTGCCCCCAGAAAATGAATCTCCACTGCCTCCAGCCTTTTTCCTCGCTGCAACATTCATCACCACGCTTCACACCCTATAAACGTTTTTAAAAATATACTCTCATGCATTCCCCCTCTTTGCCTCCAAGGACAAAATTCTTTGTCTCCACAGACTCCTAAGTGCACCACTCACTCTTTTTTCCCTCATCAATTCTATGATTCACCTCATCTTTCATAGACCCATCCGCTGACACGTCCACTCCCAAATATCTGAATACGTTCACCTCCTCCATACTCTCTCCCTCCAATCTGATATTCAATCTTTCATCACCTAATCTTTTTGTTATCCTCATAACCTTACTCTTTCCTGTATTCACCTTTAATTTTCTTCTTTTGCACACCCTACCAAATTCATCCACCAATCTCTGCAACTTCTCTTCAGAATCTCCCAAGAGCACAGTGTCATCAGCAAAGAGCAGCTGTGACAACTCCCACTTTGTGTGTGATTCCTTTATCTTTTAACTCCACGCCTCTTGCCAAGACCCTCGCATTTACTTCTCTTACAACCCCATCTATAAATATATTAAACAACCACGGTGACATCACACATCCTTGTCTAAGGCCTACTTTTACTGGGAAAAAATTTCCCTCTTTCCTACATACTCTAACTTGAGCCTCACTATCCTCGTAAAAACTCTTCACTGCTTTCAGTAACCTACCTCCTACACCATACACTTGCAACATCTGCCACATTGCCCCCCTATCCACCCTGTCATACGCCTTTTCCAAATCCATAAATGCAACAAAGACCTCTTTAGCCTTATCTAAATACTGTTCACTTATATGTTTCACTGTAAACACCTGGTCCACACACCCCCTACCTTTCCTAAAGCCTCCTTGTTCATCTGCTATCCTATTCTCCGTCTTACTCTTAATTCTTTCAATTATAACTCTACCATACACTTTACCAGGTACACTCAACAGACTTATCCCCCTATAATTTTTGCACTCTCTTTTATCCCCTTGCCTTTATACAAAGGAACTATGCATGCTCTCTGCCAATCCCTAGGTACCTTACCCTCTTCCATACATTTATTAAATAATTGCACCAACCACTCCAAAACTATATCCCCACCTGCTTTTAACATTTCTATCTTTATCCCATCAATCCCGGCTGCCTTACCCCCTTTCATTTTACCTACTGCCTCACGAACTTCCCCCACACTCACAACTGGCTCTTCCTCACTCCTACAAGATGTTATTCCTCCTTGCCCTATACACGAAATCACAGCTTCCCTATCTTCATCAACATTTAACAATTCCTCAAAATATTCCTTCCATCTTCCCAATACCTCTAACTCTCCATTTAATAACTCTCCTCTCCTATTTTTAACAGACAAATCCATTTGTTTCTAGGCTTTCTTAACTTGTTAATCTCACTCCAAAACTTTTTCTTATTTTCAACAAAATTTGTTGATAACATCTCACCCACTCTCTCATTTGCTCTCTTTTTACATTGCTTCACCACTCTCTTAACTTCTCTCTTTTTCTCCATATACTCTTCCCCTCCTTGCATCACTTCTACTTTGTAAAAACTTCTCATATGCTAACTTTTTCTCCCTTACTACTCTCTTTACATCATCATTCCACCAATCGCTCCTCTTCCCTCCTGCACCCACTTTCCTGTAACCACAAACTTCTGCTGAACACTCTAACACTACATTTTTAAACCTACCCCATACCTCTTCGACCCCATTGCCTATGCTCTCATTAGCCCATCTATCCTCCAATAGCTGTTTATATCTTACCCTAACTGCCTCCTCTTTTAGTTTATAAACCTTTACCTCTCTCTTCCCTGATGCTTCTATTCTCCTTGTATCCCATCTACCTTTTACTCTCAGTGTAGCTACAACTAGAAAGTGATCTGATATATCTGTGGCCCCTCTATAAACATGTACATCCTGAAGTCTACTCAACAGTCTTTTATCTACCAATACATAATCCAACAAACTACTGTCATTTCGCCCTACATCATATCGTGTATACTTATTTATCCTCTTTTTCTTAAAATATGTATTACCTATAACTAAACCCCTTTCTATACAAAGTTCAATCAAAGGGCTCCCATTATCATTTACACCTGGCACCCAAACTTACCTACCACACCCTCTCTAAAAGTTTCTCCTACTTTAGCATTCAAGTCCCCTACCACAATTACTCTCTCACTTGGTTCAAAGGCTCCTATACATTCACTTAACATCTCCCAAAATCTCTCTCTCTCCTCTGCATTCCTCTCTTCTCCAGGTGCATACACGCTTATTATGACCCACTTCTCGCATCCAACCTTTACTTTAATCCACATAATTCTTGAATTTACACATTCATATTCTCTTTTCTCCTTCCATAACTGATCATTTAACATTACTGCTACCCCTTCCTTTGCTCTAACTCTCTCAGATACTCCAGATTTAATCCCATTTATTTCCCCCCACTGAAACTCTCCTACCCCCTTCAGCTTTGTTTCGCTTAGGGCCAGGACATCCAACTTCTTTTCATTCATAACATCAGCAATCATCTGTTTCTTGTCATCCGCACTACATCCACGCACATTTAAGCAACCCAGTTTTATTTATATTAACTATTTTGTTTTTCTTAGCGGATAGTGACCCTTCACAGAGTCTTGATGTTTGTGAAGAGCTCTTGTTCCAAGTAATTGTAGCCACCCTTCCTTCCTTAGACCAAACATGATTACTGCCCATTCCCCAGGCACTGTATGACCAATATGGGTTAATGCATAGAGTGAACCTAATACTTAACATGGTGAATAGGAATTACTTTGTGATTCCTTGCAATGTTGTACGACCCATAATACTAATAATAATAATAATAATAATGAAAAGATATTCCAAGTTCAAAACATTCTCTGTTTTTTTCAGTCTCCTGATAAGTTGATGCTGGGAATATGGAGCTTCTGCTCTCCGTAAAGCAACCAACAACCTCATGGAGATTTACGTGAATATCAGTAGTGATGATATTTGTGGCTATATGAGGAATTGGTTAAGAGTTCTGTCTGATTACCTTCTGTTTCCCAGGAGTTGAACACTTTAAAATGAATATATACGTACATTACAGTGTGGGGACTAATGTTCTCTTGGTGGAGAGGGGAGAGAAATTACCTATTCACCATCACCAGTGAAAAAGAAAAATTCTGATGATTTTTATGAATTAAGTCTGTGATTTTCTTTGTTATTTTCTACCAAAAATGCTGTAAGTAAAGTTACTTTTGATGTAAACTCAAGTTTATAGGAAGT